GCTTTTGGTTGCCTCTTTGTTTGTGGTAAGCTAAAAGACGCAAAATATGTCAGTAGGAAATCACTCTTACGACATTTAGTGACAAGACCGGGATCCCGGGATCCCGGGATCCCGAAATAAAAACTTTCGGGATCCCGGGATTGGTAAAACGTTCCGGGATTGCAATCTCTAGGACTCATGTCGTTTGGTACTGGAGCCAATCCATCCTTGATCAACACATGCGGCTGAGTAAGCCGCGCCGTGCGGTATTACTGGTATAGACGAGATAGAGCCGGTGTCAGCCGGGTCGGCCGGCGTCCAGCCACATTCCTCTGAGCCGTCATCTGCACCGCTCTCCGGCTGACCTTGACCTGAGGTCGGCAGGGTCGGTCGTTACCGGCGGGCGCGGCGCGCTCTCTCCGCTCGCTCCCAGCTGCCCCTCGCCGGCCCCGCCCTCGTCGTTCTCTCGCTGCGGTCTGTGGTGTGTGGTCTGGTCTGTGGTCTGTGGTCTGCATTCCGCCCCTGGACGGAGAAGGGGCGCTGTGTGGCGCCGGGTACACGGTGGTGGGGTGGAGCTGTTGGGCTGAGTCGGAGGCGCCCCTTGTCAGAGATGGGCTGCGTCTCGGATGCATTTGACTGGCGGGGCGACGCTACACTGTCTCGGTTGCACCATAGATTAGGTATTCCTTATTATTCCATGGATGAAGATTAGGAATACTTCATCCATGGTTGCACTATCCAGTATCCAGTGCCCAATCTCCGTGTCATAAGGTCGACCAGAAGCCTGGTGACAGGTGATGTGACCTCTGACTCGACTCGGGATATGACCTGAGGGCAGTGTGTACCCACTGTCAAGCTGCAGCTGTCCTTGCTGTCGTCGCACTACGGTGCTTGGGGGCGGGTCTGTTGAGTTGTTGACAGTTGACGCAGTTTGGCCATGGACGCTGCGTCACGCTGGTATCGCCGGCGGCTGAAGAAGAGCTGCTTCAGGTATGTCGGCAGTACATATGTAACGACAGGCCTCAGTGTAGCTGAGCACCACTCGGCTGTGACAGACCGGAGTGGCTGGGGTCTCGGGCGAGGCTCGTCCTCGCCGCGACGCGTGTCGTCACCGCACTGAGGACGCCGGCGCCGCTTTTGTCGGCTGATTTGCGACATTTTCCCGGCGCTCCAGCGCGTATCGCGCCGCTGCCGATCGGGTGTGATCTCAAGGCCTGGGGCGCGTCCCGATCGGACCATTTCCGTGACTGTGGTTTGATTGGGACGGCTGGCGGCGGGCGCGAAATTGATGAGGTGTTTCTGATGACACCGGGAAGCGCCGCCACCCGCCGCGGCGGCTGTTAGCGGCACCAGGTCGGCGGAACGACGCCCCCTGGCCGTGAGCCCGGGCCGGGATGTGGCGCGGGTAGGTGTGCTCCGGTGTATTCTCTGAGTCCCGGCTGTGCCGCCAGGGGTGCTCTCTCGCCGTGCCCTCCAATGGGTGCTCTCTTCGAGGCCGGTCCGGCCGGGGCTGACTGGATCCGGCAACCTCCCCGCGGCGGCCGGCAGCAGTCCATTTGTTAGCCGTCGTCCATTGGCCCTGCCGATTACAGAGAGTCGGGTCGAATGGCCGGATAGCACACCACATCCGGCTTGGCTAATGCAGAGCGGACGCCATTGCTTCCATGCACCTTCATTGTTGCAGCGGCTTCCTAACGGCGCGTTCTCTATTTATTCACAGCCCATTACTAAGCTCTGTCGGATATAAGTTATGTGCGGCCGTGTTGGGGCTGATATAATTTGCTCCTTTTTTCGCCTGTTGATTGACTGAAAAATTTTCTCCAACAGCAGAGGCTTCGTTGGGTTGCGCTATGGCCCGTAAACCGTGTCAACAATGGTGAGAGTAGTGTCATGTGTTGTAATGGAATTTAATGAATGTGGTCGTTACCTGTCAACATGTGTGAGAATGACCTCACAATGAGATAATGTTGCGAATTCTGACAGACGCAGCGGCGGGGTGACCTGCTTCACTGGTTAGATCCTTATCCCGTCGAATGGCCACTGACCCTGGCCGTCTGGTGCCCCCTCTGCCAGGAACTTCGCCAAGGTCGGTTTTTAGCGCGGCTTAGTTATGGATCGCGCTCCATGCCGGTCGTGTTCTCTATGACCGTGATGGGGCCGATAGCGCCCGGGCCGGCCCCGTCTCCGGGTGGTGAACCATTATCCAGACCTGGCGGTATACCACTGCCAGGACCTTGTCTCCGGGCGGTGAAGACTGCCGACACTCGGTTTCGGTGTGGTAAACTACTGTCCGGAGTCTGAACAGTAGTTCTGGGGGTCTGGACTCCAGACCCCGTCTCTGATAGTTTGCGACTGCCCGACGCTTGTCTCAGGATGGTAAACCATTATCTGGCCCTGTCTGTGATGGTTTACCACGTTGGTCGGCCGGTGCGGACTGTCGATGCCGTCGGCGGGCGACCCTCCTGGCTCGACCGCTGCACACGTCCAGTGGTGACGCGCCGCGCTAGGCTCGTGTGCTCCCTGACACACGGCACACCAAGGTGGGTGGCCCTTTTTGCGTCGGCCAGCTCCGTCCGACTCTTCAGTGTGTTGGTGTCTGCCGGCCCGTGCCCCGCCCGAGGCGACCGGCTCATCTGTTGGAGCGTGTGCCCAGTGATGCAACGTAATCGTGCCGTCTGAGCCGTCCAGAGTTCCCATGAATCGCCGCCGTCCGGGGCTTTTGTACACAGTGCCATGCATATGTATGCTCGGTGATTGGCGGGATGCGTTGCCAGACATCGTTCTCCGTCGAATGACGTCACTGTTCGCGTCGAATCGGGCGCTGATGGATGCGTTTTCCGACCTTCGTTCGGGTGAAGATGTGTCGGAATATGAGAGGTGCTGATGTCAGCTCCGAACGACGAGCATGGAACATTGTAGTGTGTGGGCGGATAGGTGGAACCCGGGTCCTAGTGTCGACGTGGTGCACGGGGCTATCACTTATGCAGTTTGTCAAGGTATTACTGTTTAAGGATAGCACAATGTTGTCCTTGAGTCATTTATCAATATTTTATGCTAAGATTTACTTTCAATTCACTGTTCTGACCTCGTTCCATACTATATCATGAACATTTACATGGTGTCGAGCACAGGCTGTTGACTATCAAACACCTCTTATTGTCCCTTTGTAGAACAAAACAAAAGCAGCACTGTTCTGCCGAGCCGTGTCGTGCCTGTCTACCCGTGTGTCGGCCTTGAGGAACGACCAGGTCGTCGCATCTGGTGTAATGTTGTGAATACGCTCGTCCGTGCCGTTCCATGAATAACTGACCCTTCTGAAGCGTCACCCACGCTCATTATTGCGCGACCTCACGCTGTCGAGAAGTGGTGTGTCACTGCTCCGCCGTCTGGCGCTGTGTTCGGTCGTGACGGGGATCGGCGAGGCGCCGGACGGACGGGCAGAGAGTGGAGGCGCCGGCCGCTCGCCATCACTGCTGTGCCGCCCTCCGACCGGCGCCGTGGCTGGTCGCTGTCAGCGCTGAGCAGTCAGTTGACCCTGACACAGACGCGATGCTCACCTAATGATGTCGTCAACCGGGCAGAGGTCCGAGACATCTCACTGGCACTGTACTGACGTGTCCTCTGTTAAATACCGCCATCATAAAGAGTCTGTCCCGTTCTATCCTCAAGTCATTCCTTATCGAGGTAACGCCTGGAGTATTCTACAGTCCAGAGTCATTCACTGTCGAATCACCTCGTGTGATATAACTGGTGCACTTTCAAATGTTGCCACAACTGTCAATGATAGCAATTTTGGAATGGTGAGTTTTGCCACGAAATTAATAAATGAAATGTGAATAAATGAATCAAGATAAATAGGCGAATAGATAGATGATCCGGCTTGGTTACGGATCACTTTGTTCAATTATTACCAGTGATTGCCGTACTTGTATTATTTATGTGTTGGTCGCTGCTGCGTTTCATAACCCTCAATTAGAAGAGGCGCTGTGTATTTATCAACCACCCTAGCTGGCGGCTGGCAGTGTGATGCAAATTGGCAACTTCAATAGATTTTATCACTTGCTGGCTGAAATTACAATGGTGCAGCCTTTGACGCCCTTTTCTTATGGCGCTCATCTAGGTTAAAGCCTATGATTTTATAGCCATTAAATTGTATTTACTACGGAACATATTGCACTCTTGGGTACATGTCTCACTGTGACGTAGGATGTGTCGTTGAGTTCGATAACCAGACGATGCTAGACTGACTTTCATGGCCAACTGAGAGCAGAGCTCTGCCCTCCTCTCTGACCCCTCGGGTCGCTCCGGCTCAGACCGGTAAGGGGGCCATACCGGCGGTGACCTGACCCGGCCGGCGCCCCTACCCTGCCCTGTGTCATCGCGTGGGTCACGCCCCAGCCGCCGGGGCACCGACCTCGCCGCTGGCGGCTGCCCCCGGGCCCCGGCGGAAACGCGTCACCGCCGCCGCCGCCGCGCCGCACCAAAAACGCCGGCAAATGGCTCGCGAGACGCGGCGTGCGGCATTGTGGCGCGGTGCCGACGGCGGCGACGGCCATTCTAATCAGCCGGCGCGCGTAATCAATGAGCACGGCCGGCGGCGGCGCACCCTGTGTGGTCGGAGGGGAGCGACCCCGTCCGTCCGTCCGGGCCCTGATTGTCTGTCCCCGTATCAGACAGACCACAGACGAGCAGTTTTGTCCCTCCGTCCCCCTGAAGGTCTGTCAGACGAACTGTTTTGTCCGTCTGGCTCCCGACAGTCCGTATTCGACTGACGGTGAGACGCACACAGATTGACTTCTTGGTGAACGACAGAACATTTTGAAAAATGCGTTTACACTTTTGAAAAAGAAATATGTTTTGTTCATTTTCAATTTTTACCGCTAGTCGATATTTGTTGTCTGTCTTTGATCGTCAAAGAAGAGGCCCTAAATCCACTTGGCGATGCTCTGACCTCTGACCTGATCGGCCGGGGTCGTCTCCATGTCACTGACTGACCCCTCTGCGTCTCCTTCTGTCCACAGGTCACAAGCAGCACGAGTGGACTTCTTGGTCCTGTATCGATGCCGTGTTCCCGTTTCTGGAGCAGCGTCTGGAGCAGCGGCGAAAGGCCGCGGCGCCAGCGACACCCACGGAAAAACAGGACGACGGCGACGAGAAGAAGTAATAACGGGCTGTGAGCGTGCTTGGAGAATGGCGGAGACAGCGGACAGTTAGCGAAGCCGGTGAGCGCTTACTGAACGGGGCAGCAGACTGTAGAGGGGCCAGTAAGCACGCTTTTTGCCGCCTCTAAGCGCTCCGCTGTGCACAATGTCTCCACTGTGATGTGATATGTCGGGATGGGCTCTGTTTTTGCCTGGAGCGATGCACTGAAACTATGCAGAACATTCCCGCGCGTTTGCTAGACTTGTCGCAGTGATGAAGAAGGCGCTTTCTTGTGTGCATTGTACTTGATACGACTGCCTTTATTCGCCAGTTCCTGTTGAATAATTTTACACCAAGTGATGCACTGCGAGTTTTTTATAGCGATTTATTAGAGATGTCAAGACGTCAACACTAACCATTGCATTGCTGCTTCGAATCAGCAGTATCAGTTTGTCCAATGCTAATAGCGTTGGTTAATGGTTGATATTCCTCGATCACTTTTGGAACTGGCGGAGTGGAATATTTCAACAGCGTTTTTGTTCATGACAGCTTCTTAAATATTAGTGGCTCATATCCCGTTCTCTCCGGGTAAGAGAATTTCTACAGCAGTGCTGATTGCCCCATTGTTATTGTTTTATAGAACATGCAATGTTACAATAATGAAGTTTGCATTTCTACTTCTGACTTTGTCTCTCTCACACTCTGTTTCGCCACATTTCCCTCATCCCCCTGTGCACTTATCATATACCTACCGGGCGTGAATGCGTCAGGTAGTGACCGGTCGAGGAAGGCGAGTTGTTGGATAGGACCAGCTCTGCCTCACACTCCACATACCCTAACAGGGTTCTATTTTTTACTCAGTGCCATGGTCGCTGAACAAAGGTTGTAGACACCTTTTTTCTGGACCTCCCGTTGTACGAACTGAATAATGAAACGCGAACAAAACAAAAAATAGATAGAACCGGCTTTTAAACTGCTTCTCACATACCGGCAAAAAGCTTTGAATTACCCCAAAATGTTGCGGGTCTGACCTTGACAGTTTTTGTGCGTCGGCTTGGTGCCTTTATGGAGGGCCACCTGCCAATCGGCCCCATCCTGCTATGGAGCGCTGGTGCATGACAAAGGCACCCCGAGTCTCTGAGTGCTTAGGAGTGCCAGGTCAGTGGCCGCACCTTCCTACAGGGTCCCGCAGGCACTGGGCAGTGTCCTTGGCGTGTGGTGGGGAGGGGAGCTACTGGGACAGAGGACGGGACGCGGGACGGGCTGTGGGTCTATGTCACATGAGGGATGGTGGACAGTCGGAGGGAGGGATCCAGGACTGGACGGTACCGTCCACTCACACTTGACTCACTTCACTTGAAACTTCATTGTGTGGCCCTATGATTCACTGATACTGGTGGTCAGCGGTAGCGACAGGGTTGGATGGTGTGGGTGAATGAGTATCTGCGAATGATACGAGGTATTTAGCGGTGGGGAGCGAGCATGGCATCACAACTCAGCGGGCTGTGCCTCTGACACTGGTCGAGCCGTTATCCTGGGCAGGTGGCTCACCCCCCGGCCGCACCATTCTCCCGGGCACAGCTTAGGCTCAGTGTAAGACCCAAAGGATCGGGCCGTGCCCCCCCCCCCCCAGTTTCAGGCATTCGCCTCGTTGCTGTGACTGCTGGCTCGTTGTCCCCCCCCCCCCCAATGGGAACTGGTTTGAGGATCTTTGTCTGATAAGCACTCGATAAGTTCTGCCAATAATTGTAGACAACACTGCGGCTAGATGGTTCGGTATTGATTCTTTTTCACACAAACTAATGTTAATACCACGATAATTAACGTTAACAAGCTATCGACTAAAAGATAACGAGCTGCCTTGCTCATCCCAAGGCTAGGATAGCACATTATTTATTGAAGTGACACTGTAACCCTGGACATGCGCACGCTCCGTGAAGATGGGCAGGAAGCGCAGCTCAATTATGGATGCTTTGAATTACTAGGGCCCCTGTGAGCTGCTCATACACCATGTCATAGCACCATGCCATACAGCACCATGTCATAGCCTGGTGCTGGAGGCATTACCTTATTTGAGTTTATGTTTGGATGCCATTTGCTGACCAGTGACCACTTGCCACGAACAGTCTATTGCTGTTAATAAGACTGGTTGAAATAACTAGACATTAAACGCAAAAGGGGTACGACACGATAGTCAGAGCAAAATATCCCAAGAAATCCGCTAATCCGTTCAGAACCGCGCATAACTATCTCGGTTTCTGGAGACTTCAACGGGAGGCTTTGGGAGACTGCAACGCGCCGTTAGACGGGTGCCCTGGTAGACTGCGCCGCCCGGCACGGCTGCGCGCCGGAACAGCCTATACCCCGGCGCCCGGAGTGAACAGAAATCCGCTATTTCCTCGGAAAGCATGCGTGGGAATCATGGGCTCCGCCACCGGGGGGGGGGGGGGGGGACGAGGAGGACTTGTCCCCCCCAATATTTTACATTATTAACATTATGCATATGAGTGCTGCATGGAAAGAATCGACTTCAGACGGCTTTCGTCCCCCCACCCATCGGGTCGTGACGGAGCCCTTGGTGGGAATCTGTTTAGAATGAAGGTATGGTGTGAATTTTTTCCTTATTATCACATGTCCGTTTTTGATAGACTAGATAATTCCCGATTTATCATATTTTGCAAGTTATATCCTAGTAGGTATTGATATTTAAATTCCTAAATGCGTTTTAGGTATAGCAATCAACTGTATGTACCTATTCATATGTATAGCTAAGCAAAATTTCGTCTACAACCCATGCCCCTTAGAATGGAACACCAATCATTACAAACAAAAGAAGGTATTCGTTATTGTCCCAGCCAGTTTTTTAACCTATACAGGGCGGACCAAATGGATAGAAACATTTTGGACGTGATACGTGCATTAGGTACCCATTGCATGCAGGTGACTGGCAAATGGCAATGACAGCAAACGAGAGGACACTTCGTGGAAATTCATTATGGCATTACCTTACATACTTTCTCTCGTTGTCAGTCTCTCACAGCAAATGCTCGAACTGACCACCTTAGCGAGACAGGCACGGAGCGGCCCGCCTGACAGCTGACACAAGAGCCCGATCTATAGATACCTATAATTGATCTATAGATAGATCATTTAAACGCGTGATCTAAATTCAAAATGGTCAACACACCAAAAGACGGGCGATTTTTGGCTGTTTGCAATTTGCCCTTAACCCTCGCCCCGCTTGCAGGATCTGCCCTCCTGTGTTTCGCAACTATCTTCCAAACTCCTTAGGCTGGCTACGTCAAACTTTCATTGCGTCATCATAGATCAATTTGACGCGATTCCTGAAAATGTGAACGAACTCTGTCCGATTTTTGGGCGTAAAAAGATGCCTTTTTGTGACGTCATGTTAGCTTTAAAAAAAAAACTTCAAACGTTTCAATTTTAACGTTTTCAATTTTCAAAGAAACAAGACAAAAAACATGCATGCACTTAGGTAGATTTTGTCATTACTCATTAACCCTCGCCCGCACATGCCATTTTCCCATCCTAGAACGCACATGGGGGGGGGGGTTGCCACCCCCCGCGCCATTTCGTTCCTGTTGGAGATAGAGCTTCGCAGTAAAGACGAAAAAGATTCTTTGGGAAGAGACGAATCCAATGACACATAGTTTTACCTTCTCAGGTCGGTCATTGACCTTCCAGGTCAGGTCAAACTAAAAAATGTTGCTGTTTTGGATCACCGTTGGATATCAAGTGCGCTGCTTATCATATACCGATGGCGATGCTGTTTTCTGGTGCCAGGCCAGCTAAAACCTCTTTGTCATACTATCCGACCAGTTTTTTTGTTGCATAAGGTCATTTCAGGTCAAGTTAGGTCAAGGTCAATGATATGTGTTTGTATGTCTGTGTGTGTCTGTGTATACTGATGTGTGCACCGATTGTGTATGTGTCCATATTATATGAGATCATGAAATGAGAAGCTTTTATAAAAAATACAGTCAAAGAAGCTTCACGAAAAGTAAATTCAGCTTGCCTAAAATGCAATGTTTATAGATGACCTAGGTTGACCTTGACCCTGACCTTGACATCTGTACATCGCCGAGCAACATGTTCCATGATAGGTGGGAGGTATCAGGTAAGACTGGCAAAAAAGGCCGAAATCAAGGTGTCAAAAGCTCACGACCCATAGCCAACGCAAGATGTTGAGAATTGGTCATTTGGGTGATGACATGACCTGAAGAACAAGGTCATATATCCGAAACCAAAAACCACAGAAACTTGAAATTTTCAGTGGACATCAAGAAAGGAATATAGAGGAGCAGCTATACCAAAAATCAGGCTTCTAGCTTTAAAAATGTGGAGTGCAGAGCGAAAAAAAAACTACCTAGGGGGGGGGAGGTGGCAACCACCCCCCATGTGCGGGCGAGGGTTAAGAAATTGCTATGTCAGTTTGTTAAATATTTTCAAAAAATTGATTTTTTCGCACCAATATAGTAAAAAATTCAAAACTGAGGTTATCGAAAACAAAACGAAACATTAGTAAAGTGGTGCTCGCTAAACTACGTGCCTCGAACATTTTAATTTTTAAACTAATCGGTCTGGGAGTCATTGATATTTTAGGTACGTCGCGACACACAAAATAGTCAGGTATTTTTAAAATTATAAATATTGTACACGTTCAGGAAGAGCAATAGTAGGTACTATTCGATTTATCATGGAAAATGCTCTTTGGTCTTTCAAACTAACTTCAAAATTGACTCCCCTCGACCTGACCTTGAATTGACCTCGACCGTAACTTCATCCAAATAGGTATGCTCCAGCCTCCAGATCACTAATTGAATATGCCCATTGAGTTCTTTGAGTAAAATGACCCAAACAATATGTGACGCCCATATCCTATTTAATAGTTCCTCTTTGGTGACCTGACCTGGCCTTGACCTTGACCTTTGCTTGGCATTTTATGTAATCCGTTTTGCCTCGGTAGCCTACAAGTATACGTATAGCAACGCCTTCTGGTTGATGAATCTAAGTCCAAATAGCCACTAAAGTCGAAACGTGAAATTTTTATTTTTTACCCTTGACCTGACTTGTGATACATTAACCCTCGCATGTGTGCGGCGTTTGCCAGCTTCTAATGTGTAGGGGGGGGGGGGGGTCGGTTGGACCCCCCCCTTGCCGTTTGGCCCCTGATCGAGCTAGAGCTTCGCGGAAAAAACGAGCGTGTTGCCCGTGACGAGAGGAAGCCGATGATACCCAATTTTAAGGTCCTAGGTCATTGGTTGACCTTCCAGGTCAGGTCAATGACCCAAAGTCGGGAAAATCGGGACCTGTTAGAAAGTCGTAAAGTGTGGCTGCTAAGGGGTTTTTCGGGGTGCTGATCACGAATATCGTGTTAGTTTTGATCACAGATGATGTCTTGAAGCATTTAGACCAGGTCGGGTCAGGTCAGGTCAGGTCAACCAGTAGGCGTCGTGACGGGTATTCGTAGTACGTGTCAACCGCCTCTGACAGCTTCGTAACATGTTACGAAGTCACCAAAACTACTTCGTAAATGTTCAAATGGTTGCTAAATTCGAATTCAGCTCCAAAAACTAGCCTAGAAACATGTAAAACTCGAAAAAGTGACCCGAGGTCACCCGAGGTCACCAAAGGTCAATGACTTGACCTGACCTTC